TTACAGGAAGCTCACAACTTATGTTATTGATAAAATTCTGATCACATGAAGAAGAAAAATATTTTAGGTTTTTTTCTAGTTATTTCGGACACTTGATAATTGCACTGCAAGAGATTTTGAAGTGTTTTGTTTGATATTTATAACTTTTACCTTCCACCCGTTTTTCAAACAGTAGACGAGTTTATGTTTGATTATGTAAATTAAAAAGTTTATAAAGCAGTCTTCCAATAAGTATTATTGCAATTATAATCAATGTTACAATTTTTGATCTGTTAACTTTTGAATTATATAAACAAAGACAGGCAAGCATTTAACAATAATGTTCCGCTTATGAATCATCATTGATAAAAAGTACTTAAAAGCCATATTTTCCCGTTAGAATTAGGACCAAATTTTTTTAAAAATTTTACCATATGTAAACTTTTAAACAAATGCTAATCTGAAAGATAAATCATCATTATCCTCGTCATCCTCATCAGCCCTATGATCGGATGTGGTCATAGGGTCGCTGCGCAGGTGATTATCTAACCTGTTCCCTTTACATATCTAGGTTGAAACCCGGAGATGTATTCATTTATGCGTAGCGTGTCTTGGGAAAGAAAATCTAGCGGAGCCTATCCTTCTCCAGGCCAAACCATAGCCGATGAACCCCAACTGGAAGGCTCGTCTTGGATACGTGACCGTTATTTCTATTGGAACCTGTCCAGGGAGCCCTTCGTCCAGCGATGTCGTGTCATCACCGCCCTGACTACATAAATATCTATGTAGCCGAGTCTACCCCAATATGCTAGATGGGTGGTGACCATTCAAGGTTAACCCACCCGTTGACATTACTTATTTTTAATCTTACTTGGTGTCTAGCTACCATCCTCACAAGAAAAGCCAATGGCCCAACCATGTGACAGGTAGTAATGGTTTACATGGTACTCATAGAGTAACCCGACATAATGGTAAATAGAAACTGACAAATATAAAAGGTCGGTGGTCGTTTTGGCCATTTGAGAAGTTAATCGTGTGGTGGATTTTTCAGCACCCCTTGGAGATGAAGAAAGAAAGTGGAGAATGTTTGGAAAACTCAACATTCGACATTTTTTTTATATCTAACACCGGTGGGAAGTGAGCAAGTAACTCTTTGAAATCGGCTAATACGAGTTCCTCTCTATTTAATATTAACGATAACATGTCCCACCTATTGTAAAATATCCTCCTTCGGACTGCACAAGTTTATCCCATTGTTTCTTTCACTTGCCAAAATAATCTCTCTTTCAAGATCGCTATCAACTGCCTCTTTATATCCTCCTTAATCTCGTCCACGATCTGTATCCTCACATTCAATGGCTATTTTAGCTTTGAGAAAAGCTGTAGACCAAATCTGAGTGCAAAGGAAGAGCTGCCAAATCTGAAGAGATGGAGATGCGGTGTTTTGCTAAGATGTCCTCACACGTTCAACATTATCTTAAGTTCTGTTTATTGAAGGTTTTCTACAATGTTGAACGCTTCCAACAGATTTTCGGCCAAGAACAGTCGATACCATTTTTTTTTTATCTGCGCTTCGCATAACTTATCATTCCCGAAAGCCTTTTCGTTTTTTTCACAGTTTCTGTGGACAAATGTGTTATTTTTAACAAAAAAAGTTGCTTTCTATTCACTGGAAATACGACTGTCGCACACTACACAATCTCATTTTATAGCATCTGTCAGTCAACTGACTAAACTCACGAGAAAAAGGCCCATTCGCACATAAGCAGTAAAGTTCTCTCTGATTAACTGATAAATTACATCAAGGCCGCGTAACATATTCACAAGTCAGACAGTTATGTATCATGCGTGATTCACGCTTAGGCGATCATGTATCTTTCGATACATGACAGACGAGGCAGATTTTTTTCCAGCAGTAAGTTGCCATTTCTTTCTGCGATATTTCAAATAAGTGTATACTTTCTAGACTGACTTTGTAAATGTTTAAAATTGCAAAAATATTAATGTAACCCATGTTCTAAGGTTTTATCACTGGTGCCTAAACGGTGATATTCGTTATCGGTGACGAAAATTCAATTCATCTTGTAAAATAAGTACTTGTCCAAAGTAAAAGTAATTAAAAAAAAAAATCATTTAAATAATGCCATTTTTAGACCGGATGAGTTCAGAAATTCCAGAATTCTTGTGGATAGAATGAAAAGAAACTTAATAACCGTCCCTGGTCGCTTATCCCCTAATTGCTAAATGTTCATTCTCATAGAATTTCAAATATCATTCCCTTCAAACAATTATTCACTTCTCAAATTTAAATGTTTATAAAATCTCAGAAATAATCTTAATTTTCCGTGACTCACGAATACATTTTGAAAGAGGAAAAGAGATTTTCATATTTTATCCGTTAAATGTCATCTGCAGAATATTATTAGTTGGGTGTCAAAGAAAATATACTCGACGTTTTTACCCTTTTACTCAATTGGTTCTCAGTTAGCAACTCAAAAAGGACAAATTTCTCATATGAACTAAATTATGGAATTTGCCGCACCTGTTGTTCTAACATTATTTATATTATTCGGACTGTTATCTTCATCTTCATTGCCATATTCACAACGTTTCGGCCGTTGTATGCTCCCGCTTTCTTCAGGTGATTGGAATTTCGGACCGAACCTTTTATTTCGTCCACCGGGTCAGACTGTTCTTGTTCCGCGTGCCATGCCTCTTCCGGATGTCTCAGTTATTTTCCTATCACTCAAATCTCCAAATTGTTGGTTCACCACTGCTGTGGCCTGGTATTGAACTCACAAATCACAGAGACAGCCAGTAGAGGCATGGCACGTAGAACTAGAACAATTTACCCCGGTGGCTGAAATAAAAGGTACGGTTCGAAATTCGAATCACCTAAAGAAGGCCGGAGTGTACAACGGCCGAAACATTGTAAATATGGCAATGAAGATGAGGATAACAGTCCGAATAATGTAAATAATGCAACTAATCATAATGCCTCATCTCAGAAATATAGACAGATACTGTTATTCTAAGTTTCTTAAAATTGAATTAATGGAGATTCTTGTTAGAAATTTTTTATTCACATTTTCGCCTCTGGGTGTTGACTTCAATGTCCACTTTCATATATATATATATATATATATATATATATATATATATATATGTTATATGTTCATGTGTTAATTTTCACGCTGAATAAAATCGAAAAAAGTTATCAAGTAAAAATGTGACCGATGGCGTTTTTACTGAAATATCTACTTTTCAGCAAAAATGCTATAAATCAGTTGTTGATTATTTTGAATGCTAATTTTCAGGTCATCAGGACTTGCTCAGTTGGATACGTGGAGCATCACACTCTTCCTGCTCTATATTCCTAGTATATATCAATATTTTCTGCTCACTAGCGAAATAAGCATTTTTTTCTTTTTTTAAAAAGAAATATATTTGGTGTATGAAGGAATGAAGTGAAATTAAGTTCAATCAAAAGGAAATAATTTAATCCTTTTTTTCTATTAATTATAATCAAGCATTCATTCGAATAGGAGGAATGCCTGCGGTAGGCAGAGTTCAAACCAAAGTAAAGGCCACGATTTTCACTGTTCATTGTAAATAGAAAATCCCTACTTGAAATACTAGTTCCACAGTTTACTCACTGCTGTGCCGTCTATTAAGCTTTTATTAAATTTTATGATGAACGCAGTGGTGAAAAAGTTCTCATCTTACAAACAGTTAAACTCAGTCATTGATGAATGTTTTTTTAGGGCCAAAGCTGACATTGCTCAAAAATAACTGAAAGAAGAAAATAGATATTTAAATTTCCTAACTAAATTTTCTAACTTAACATAAAGACTAATATCCTCACTTCATAAAAAAAAAGTAAAGTTTTCTTTGTTCTTGCATCTTACATTTACTGATCTTTAATAGGAGTCAGTTTTATAACACGGGTTCCTTTAACAGAACAATACGTGTCGTCTGCTCAATTGGAAAGAACAAATATTTGTTACCTCGGTTTTGATAATTAACAAGCCTAAAATGTAATCCAGTACCGGGCGAGAAAAGTCAGACATTTCATTGGCTAATTTAATTTGGTACCTGGCGAGAAAAGTTAGGCATTTCGTTGGCTAATTTAATTTGATACCTGGCGAGAAAAGTTAGGCATTTCGTTGGCTAATTTAATCCGGTATCGGATGACAAAAGTTGGGCATTTCTTTGACTAATTTAATCCAGTAGCGGGCGCAAATATTAAGCACTTCGCTGGTTAATTAACCAATTCTCTACAACTCGAATTCTGTGGATTCTGACTTCAGTCATTATGTTGATTAAAACTCATTGTCGAATTTATTTGAAATTAAAAATATATCTCCATACAGTTTCTTATTTATTTATTACCAGTTTTTGTAATTTCACGACAACTAAAAAAATAAAATTACTTTAAAATCAGTTTGAAACAATTTTTTAATGGCTAAACAGAAATAACAGGAATAGGAATTTAAAACAACTAACATATTCCAAAATAACATTGTAAAACGATATTTTAAAATTAAAACTGAATTTTATAATACCATTTTCTTAAAGAAAGTAGGCGATCATGACTCTCAAAATCGTCCTTTTCTTTAATATCTGTGAATTTGTATGCATTCTTGGGAAAGATAGTATAGTTTCCCCGATTTCCTTCTCTACGGTTTGAGATTCAGAGTTTTCCTTCTCTTAGACTGGTTGCCAACGAAGGCTAAAGAGCTCAGTCTACCCTGTTATTAAATACGTAGTGGGTGATGAAGAAACTGATCCGTGCTTTTATCAAGAGCATTTATGTAAAAATAAACGCAACAGACTATCCCGGAAGTTTAATATTTTTTAATTTTTTTTTTTTTAAATCTTTTTTGGCTTTTATAAACTTCTTGCAATCATTTTCAGAGAACAGATAAGAGAATACAATGTAACTGTTTTTTGTCGTTAAATTACTTATGTAGATTTATGTAACTGATAAATTTTTTACTGATCTCGTTTCAGCGGTCCAAATGTCTGGAGTTGGGACAAAAAGTATAAAAACCACCACCACTACCACGACGGTATTAACGTCAGCGACAATTAATAAAAGTGTTTCCCTTTCTAAACGAAGAACCACTGCCGCTGTCACAGCTTTTCTTACTGCAATCGGTGTCACCTTTACTGTCCACCAACCGAGGAGACCCTTGTCAGCAGTATGGCAGTTTGTGTGATCAACCCATCTTCAACTACTCCAGCATCAACGTCGACATCATCAGCATTGCCAATAAGCTCCTCATTGTCGTCGTCATCGTCCCCTAAGCGTCGGTCATCAGCAGGGCCGGGACAAGTTCAGCCAAAGCGAGCCACTCTTCGTTCTACGCCGTCTGTTACCTGGATAGCGGTTGCTCGCGCGACCCCCACTCATCTCGCACCCAATAAGAGCAGTAGTAACGCTCGCGGCAGGGACGGTCAAAGCAAGAACGACAATACTAGTGGTTGTCATTGTGACAACGATAATAGTAGTAGTAGTATCAATTGTGGCTCTTATAAAAAAAGAGGTGACGCTTTCTGCTACAGTGATTGTAGTAGTAGTAGTAGTAATAATATTGACGGTAACTGGCTGAAGGGAGCCGACTTCACTCGTTATGGCCCTAGAGGGAAGTTTAGAAGGCACCTCGGATAAAAAGGTAACTCGCTCACATGGATCTCGGAATAGAGGAGGCTGGGTTTGTGGACTCGGCTTTACGGAAATCTGAGGTGGATATTACTTAATTCTGCTGGGAACAAAAATTAACTTTTCAAAAAAGGCAAAGGAATTTACCAGAGCAGAAAGAAAAGTTGACATCTATACACTCTGGGGCCTAAGACTAAATTTATTTACCTCATCTTCAACGGACTGGTTTTACTTCATCGAACAACTTGATAAAAATTTCAACAATCCTTTGCAATTAAAAAAAAAAAACTATATATATATTTTTTTTTCAAATGGGTGATATCTTTTGTATATGGGGAAACCCTCCTGGTGTCGCTACAAAATATTGAAGTCGTGATATGGAAATAAAACTAAAAGAACGAGGAGAAGGTTGATTGCTAAATAAAAACAAAGAATGCAAGACCAACCATTCCCCAACTTACTAAGGACCTGCTATTTCTTTGGAGTACTGCATCTATGTGCACTGATTGCTTGTGTATCTGGAAATTCTGCCGGTAAGTGAACTTAATAACAAAAACAATTCGAGCTTTTCCACCAAAATTATGTTTTGTTTTTAGTTAAAATAGTTTAATGTTGGAATGAGTCTTAATTACTCGTAATGAAAGTTTGTTTTTGTTTTGATTTTTAATAAAATATCACAAATCGTTTTTTGCATACAAATTTTAAACAGTAGTAGCATTGTAAAGTTGCTAAGTTTGTGTGTAAAATTAAAAATGTTTAGTTTACTCTTCTTTGTAAACAAACCTATTTTTATTTTAAAAATATGCAAACGTTAACTATTGCTGGAAATCATAATTTGCAATAAGAAAAGAAAATTAGAGTATCATTTTCTATGAGTTACGTAAATGTCATAAATCATTTTTATTTAGTAAGATAAATTCTTATTTAAATGGCACTGGTTCCCAAGAGCCGACTTTAAATTAAGAACTTACTACTCGATATCTGCTTCTTTTTCACTCATGTGTAATTATAAACGAAACAAAGCATAATTTAAGTCACTTTGTCAATGTCGACTTATTGAGGGAGCACACAGTAAGTGAAGTTTGTTGTTAGTTCCACACTTTAAAATTTAGTCGATATTATACTAAACTGCTTCCTGTATTACAGATGACACTGACTGATCTTGTTAAAACTTGGGTTTATTATTATCTTACAAAGAGTGAAAGTTTTCATGAAAAATATTAAGATGCTTTGCCCCGCTTAATTTGTAAGATAGCCTTTCGCTTTTATTAAAAGACTACTAATTATTTCATTATAGAACTATTTATTTCATTATAATACTATTTATTAATAGTTTAAACAATCTGGTCATAAATTTATAAACAATAATCTATTATTTAGCTTCAACTTTTTGTTTCCGCGTTGTTAAACGTTTATGCAGCAGCTACATATTAAATTTTTTTTATTTTTATTACTTCCTCCAGTTGCTTCGGATTTTAAACGTTAAACGCTACCTATTCATGACATTTTATTTTTCATTTTCCTGACTATAAAACTAAGTATACCATTACCTCTGGAATATATCAGAATGTAATCTAATATTAAGAAACTTTTTATGTCTTACTTTCAAACAGGTTTGAGTGGAGTCTTTACTTGTAAATTGAAATATCAATAAAGAGTATAACTTGAACACTGTTAAAATAAATTTAAGGATCTTTCGATTGCCTTTGTTTTGAGAACCCTGGGAGATAAAGAGAAACTTCGGAGTAAGTTTTATAAAAATCATCAAGATATTGAAACTCATAGGAAAGTGCAAGTGAATTTGTGTTGAATTGTTACACAGATTCACATTATGATTTAAACGGTCGTAAGATATGAAAGTGCTCATCTATAATATTCAACTCTACATTGTTATGGCGTTTAAGGAGACAATAGCTTTTATATCGGCCTCAAGATATGTTTTTTGTGACACGCATAAACAAATCGCGTAAGGAAAACTGAAAACAAAATTTTTGAAAGGATTTTTCTCGTAAGAAAAACTTTCAAACTTTATATATGTTTAACAAATTGAAGATTTTATTCGGAGTTTTTGTCTTATTCATGTAGCTCAGTTCAATGATTTTATTTAAATAATAATAATCTTTATCTTTTACAAAAGAACCCATTGTTTAATTCAGACGTAATCTAATATGATTTTTTATCGTCAAAATGATCAAAACCATTTGAATTTTAGAAAATTACATGCATATTATCTTAGAAAGATAAAATAGTAATTTTGCGCCTGCCTCGTTTCAAAAGATGTGGCATATTAGAACTTCAACAAACAGATTACAAACAGATTACAAACAAAAAAGTTGTTTCCTAAAACCAATTATTAGAAAATTGGTTGGTTCGACAGTTAAAGCAACATTAACAATAATTTTAACTTGTGCCCTTATTACTAATTATAAATATTAATTATAAATAAGTAATTGGAAATATTAATTATAAATATTTCACAAAGTTTTCAGTGATTCACAAGGAGAATTTAAAATTTCTATCGAATTTTATAAGCCGGATTGCTTAATGTATATCTTCGAAATTTTATTTTAAATGGACATGTGTGCCCATGTGCCGGTCTGTTTGCGTGTAAAACATTGTGATGCACTTAATGATTTCAACACAGGCTGACGTATGAACGCACGTAAGTCTCACGCTGCCAGTCGAAATTGAAAATCATTCATTGACAAATATCATAACATTTTTTTTAACTGTTTTTATTAATATTATAGTCAAATGACTGAAAATCTTGACAAGGACTGTAAAAATAATTGTATTCTCAGTCATTGTTGATACGTTGTGTCAATGTTTGACACACGCCAGTAAATTAACAGTTGATTCTCTCTGTCGCGACATAATTGTGGACCTTTTTTTATATTTATTTTCTCTCATAAACACATGTGTTGCTTATTTGTTTAGTGTCCTCTGGCATAATCCCCACCCACTTGATTGACCCAGCGTTTGACAGCACACAATCATTATTATCTCAAACTAGAGGTTGAGTAGATCCACTCATCTTGTGTTGTCAGGAAAAAAAGTCACCGATGTCATATGATTTTTTTTCATCCTTCTTTACATTTCTGTTAATTCACACTGATCCATATATGCCTTGTCATTCGAACTAATATATTCATCTTGGTTGTTATAATCAAAACATTTCGAAGTACTTTTAGAATCTGTCAGGTTTGATTTTATCCCTCCCAAGAACAAAACACATTGGTAAATATTTTAAATGACAAAGTGATCGAAAAATGTAAACAGTGTGGCTCATCTCTAATTTCGAATCAGCAAAATGTTATTGTTCTTTTGAAATTAAATTCATCAGTAGAATTATGAACGTTAATCTAGATGCGTTCGCAAATGGATCTGATGACTAAAAGCAAAATTTATATCAGACAAAGATTGGGGGGGGGTAGAGGTGAGTGAGGTGGTGGTGGGGGTGGGGGGGTGGTAATTCATGCCAAATTGTTATAACATACGTATATTTGTAAAATCTTAATTACAAAGCAACTTTTATATCAATATTAACAGATATTCATGTTAAATGGAGCTCCCAAGAAATAAGATCTCTTAAAAAAAAACTTATTAAATGATATTTGAAAAATATATATCTATTTGTTCCTCTAAAATAATATTTCCTCGTTTATAAAGAAGACGAATTAAGTGATACAAGTTTTAACTTATAAGAATTATCGATTTCATTCCACTTCCAACAAAAATTATCATAAAATCAGTAAATAAATATTAGAACCTGATACAAGAGCTGCGTAGTTTCCATAATTATACGAGTACTGGAACCGTCCAATAAAACAAAAAATAACAAAGATCCAGGTAAGAATTGAAAAAATGTACATCATAAAAACAATATAGAGAATATAACGAGATGTTTATGTAGATTTGCATTTGTTTTTTTAGCTGATGTTTAGATATTTAAGAGTAAATGGGGTTTGATAGAACATTTTTAACGTTATCCTTCTAGTGATATTTTATTATGTTTATTTCTGGTTAGGAAAGTGTTTAGAAAGAGTATTATTTAGCCAACTAATACGGATGGTCGTTATTACTAAGTAGGGAATTCCATCCTCATTAGGTGCTCCATAATTGTGATCTTGCACCAAAGTTGAACTTAGTAAATTAAAACACTGCTTTTGGTGGGAATAAACTAAGACACACTTTTAAAGCACTTTCTACACCTGACACATAGAATTCTATTTGAAGCATGTATTTCCTAATTTTGAAAAAGAAATTTATCGGCGTAAAGTCGATTAAAGAAAAGCTAAATAATTATTGGAATTAAAAGAGACCTTGGATCTGATGTATAAAGAGTTTGAAACTCTAAGGTTTGCGCTTTATAAGAATTATAAATGAAAGTCTATTTGTCAAATTCTTAAAATAGGATTTTAATCTTAACTGAATAAAACTAACTAATTATTTTATTAGAAGCCGATGGATTATAAGTCTAAAAATTTAATTCTTTTGAACACTAGATTGTGTTTTGTCATTACTTTTCTGTACTAAATACAAGTGTCATTTTGAATAATCATGTGGCGGGAATTTTTCAACCTATGAAATAAGTTGGGTAGCCATTTTAACGTGATGTAATGGATTGTCTCGTTAAATCAGTTACGACTGAGTAGTGAGTTCGATCTTGTACTAGTTATCTTTATAAAATCACTATAAAATAACTGGAGAATTTTTTTTTTTATTCATAATTGTCCTGGGGAGAAAATTATTTATCATATAATAAGCGTTTCCGGGGTACGGAGCGGGGAGTGAAGGAAAGAATTTAATTTTGCGTGCACTTTTGTACACAAAAGAATGTGAGATATTGTCGTATTATCTAATTCTATAATGTAATTAGTTCCT